AAGTGAGCGATACAGGGAGAGAAACACAGAAGAAGAGGTGAGAGCGCGGCAGAGAGAAGCGGAGAGGAAAGTGCGAAGAGAATAATTAGCGATACAGGGAGAGAAGCGGAGAGGAGATTGAACAGGCGTGTTAGCGGCAGACAGGAGAGACAAATAATTACACATGGCGCTCTCCAAGAAGAGGAAAGTGGACAGTGAGAACAGAGCTTTTAACCCTGAGTGGGACTCATTCATGTTCATCCTGCCCACTGGGAGCACAGAACCAGTGTGTCTCATTTGTTCAGAGACCGTGGCGCTCACTAAAAGTGCCAAAACGCCACTATGAGACAAAACACAAAGTGTTTGACCAAACATTCCCTCTCAAGTCAGAACTGAGGTCACAAAAAATAAATATCGTTTCAGCGCAGGCTAACCGAGGCTAACCAAATGAGCACCTGCAACCGCCTGAGAATGGCCCTGACACAATTTCAGCCCAGATTTAAACTCCTGGCAGGACAAGCTCGAGCTCAATTCTCGCACTGAATTAAAACAAAGTGAGTGAGGGACTGCAATATAAGAGGGAAAGAAAGAGAAACTTTAAAACTCTTCAATTGTTATGATGTGTAAAGACTGATATTGTTCTATAATCGTCTGAAACTGTTAAGTCATGATGTGAAACGGTTAACAAAGAAAAAGAGAAACTCAAGCTGCTGCTACACTTTATTTTATTTATCTAAAATCAAGCACTTTTAAGATGCACATATTTTCAAAAGCTATTTTATTTATTTTCTCTATTTTATTTGTAAATGCAGCCCGAGAGGAACATTACACATATCCACAGTATTTACTGTATACTTCAATGTTAATTGACAATAAATAATGTTGTTTATGAATTGTACTTTATTTATTTGATTAGCAGTTAGTTGTTGATTACATGCAGACGTTGATAAAGCTACAGCTACTTCAATATCACACTAATTCATAAAGCAAGTTAGACATTTTGATGTTCCGGACCTTTGCAGATGTTCTGGACCTCATTGAATTTTAGTTCAATACCCCTGCTCTAGAATCTGTGGAATCTCAGCTTTAATTGTCTGATATCTTGTTTGTGCAGATCCGATAAGTAATAACGTATTTCTACCGTGTGCTAAGTGCGTTAGCATTTTTTCGCTCAGGGCTCATTTAGACACTTCTTGTGAGACTTGTGTTTTTTTTCGGTGAAAATGGTTCGTATCGTCAGTTAGCTGAGTTTCTTCCCATTAAGTGGATATACACATTCATAGTTTGTTACATTTTAAGAAGCCCTCAGACGCTGTTTCTTGCAGATGTTGCATTTTTGCCCCCGCCCGCAGGTCCGTGGGGCTCAACAGGTTAAACTAGAGGCACAACTGGTGATGAATTAAATATACTCTATAGAGTGTAGAAATATCTGAAATGTTTGACAGTGGTGATGATGATGATGTATCCCTAAAACTCTTCTACAGAAACCCATGGGTCTCTATAAACCTTAAGATAAAGGGATAATTTGTTACAATCATAATAGCACAACAATAGCATATTAATGCTCCCTGTGATTTGTCATTAACCAGAAGTTATTACCTCACAATACTGTTTTTCATTTTTCTCACATTATTTCTAGCCATTTTAGAAACAATAAACATTGCCAGAGGCTTCACACTGTAGTGTATAATTAAGATATAAAGAAGCGTTCTACAAGTATGAGCCTCACATTTATTGAGTTGCATCTTGAACATAAGTTGCTGATATAAAAAAATAAACATGCTATTTTTATTGTAATGATAGCCCTTTGGTTTATCATGTTGCACTGTTTTAGAGATTGTGTGTGTTTATGAATACATTCAAACCTGTGAATACCGATCTCTCCAGTTACAGTGGCTTCTTTGCCATTCCTGTCATGATTGCAGTAAATTCCTTAGAGGACTCCATATCCTTTTACATTATTTGAACATTTGCTATCCAATTTTATTTTGACAAAGCACGGCCAAAGGCTTAGCTATGCACAGCTGTTTATGCCTAGTTTAAATGATTTGTACATCCGTAACACCTGTGGTAGGGTCTTTCCTCACTCTGGTGTGATTTGCCATGTGATGGATTCTCATCCACAACATCACATGTTCATGGTTCATATTAGTGCTCAATACACCAGAGACTGCCTGAACGAGACCAGCAGGTTTTCTGAACACGGCGGAAATATGCCATCTCCCATTCTGTCAGGGAAATGATCAAGAGCTAATAAATAATGGACAAGCAGCAAATAATAGAAGACCAGTATTACGGCATTTTAGAGGGCACAGTAGATTGATGACCCAGTGCTGTATGCATGCAACTACAGCCACAAACGTGCCTGCAAGTAAGGCATTAAACACCTACTTTCTCAGTGTTCAACAGCGGAATGATGTGTTGCAGGGTGCAGCAGACATGGCTCCCTGAAGAGATTTGTTTAACTATGAATATAACAGAGGATGCTTCCAAATAAAAGCAAGGCTGCTTTCTGTTTTGGAGTTCTGTTCCTTCTCTCTGCCTTCTTGCATTAAAGATGGATTATTTTAGAAATATCAATACGTCACTGTCAAATTAATTGGTATACCTTTGGCAAAGCAGCTTTCATTAAATTAGAGCATGGTCACAGCCAAGAACACCGGTTGTCTCTCCCTCTCTCTGGTTTATCATTACTCACACATTTTTAGAGCAGTGTTTCAGTATTTCTCCAACATTTGTTGCCTCCTGCTACGAGGAAAACATCTTCCAACTACTCATAGTTTTCTTTCTTTTTTCTCAATGTACCTTATTTTTCCAAATTCACATTAACAATATAATATACAGTACTACAGAAAATATGTTACTGCAGTATTGTTTCACTCCTGAAGGTAATTGAGAAGAACATTACTCTCTAGGACTGTCCGTACCTATGTTTTGCCATGAGGTCATGAGGTTGGCAGAGCCTGCCTATTTTTTCTAAAAGTATCTTTTTTTTGTTTACAAAATACTATTATTCATTTAGTGTTATTAACATGCAGCCCTTATCTTCAATTATCTTCAGTAAGTAGTTTGTCAAACAGAATTCCCATTTCAATTCTAAGCTTTCATATGTCCCCAGTGACATTGCTGGAAATTGTGAGGGTGAATCAGCAAGAGGCCATACCTGCAGGCATTTATAAAGAACTCTCTCTTTTGTTGTCTTCCTTTTTACTTTGATCTATTCTCACCTTTGCTCATTGTCTGTATCTATAACTGTTTCTGTGCTTGCTTTCTTTTTGTTTTTCCAGGTGATAAAGCTTTCATTTGAAGAGTTTGACCTGGAAAGAGGATACGACACACTTACTGTGGGAGATGGAGGGAAGATAGGAGACACTCGGAGGGTACTCTTTGTGTAAGCACCACCATGTGTTCTGTCTTATAATATAGTAATATTGACACACGTTAATGGTGGCAATCAGAAGAAGAATTGAATACCAATGAACAATAATGTGCAGGAACATGTGTTTATATTGAATATCTACAATCATTTGATGTTGTATTTTTAACTATATGGGCTAGGGCTGCTCGATTATGGCAAAAATCATAATCTCGATTATTTGGGTCAATAATTGTAATTGCGATTATTAAATGCGATTATTCATTGACCTTGAAAACATCCATTTATTGGAGAGAAAAAATGTGAACATTATGTTTTTAACATTTGATTACCCTGAACTTTAAGTATAATTTAACTGAAAACCGCAAAAAAAAAATTATAAAAAAAAAAAAAAAAGTAATAATAAAAGAATAATCGTTTTATTTCGATTACGTTGTTTTCGTAATCGTTGCAAGCCATAATCGTAATTGCGATTAAAATACGATTAATTGAGCAGCCCTACTCTGAGGTACAAATCTTTGTAATAATTTGTTAGAGTAAACTTTTGCTGGCTCACTACAAGCCGTTATTTAATGAAAGCTAAAGAAATAATGCTCACAACTGAAATGCTTCTACTAAATCTTGCTCACAACTGCTAAAAACAACATAATGGCTATTTACCTTATTAATAATTAAAAGATCTATATTGTTTTACCCTTTGTTTTGAAAGCAGTTTCTAGAGACGGTTGTTAAATGATACTGACACTGCAACACTGAATCTTTTAGTGGTCTTTTAATGGAAACTTGACCTTAGAAGCATTTTTGTTTACTGGCAACAGATCGTTGTGGCAACTGTCTGGTAAACATGACACCTTGGATGGTAACAGCTTAGTCATTGTTTAGCATATCAAATGCATGGCCTTAATCCTAATAAAGCAATAAAGTCATCATGACTAAGACATGTTGAAAGATCCTCTCTGTCACGATCTTAGTTTGGTTTATTTTGCTATTCTGTTCTCCCTGTCGTTAGTTTCCCCGGTGTGTCTGATTGTCTGATTGTGTTCACCTGTTGCCCTTGTGTTTCTCCTTCCCTGCCCGGCTGTTTCTCGTCTCGTGATTACCCCTCCCTGTATTTAGTCTTGTCTCTTCCTGTGTTCGATGTTGGTTCATTATTTGTCGTTCATGTCTCCCTTCATGTTGGTCACCTTTTGTTTGGATGCTACTACCTCGTACCTGTTCATGGATTCTTGTTTTACCTCGTACCTGTTCATGGATTCTTGTTTTAGCTCGTACCTGTTCATGGATTCTTGTTTTACCTCGTACCTGTTCATNTCTGAGGTAGGGCTGCTCGATTATGGCAAAAATCATAATCTCGATTATTTGGGTCAATAATTGTAATTGCGATTATTAAATGCGATTATTCATTGACCTAAGGTCAATGAATAATCGCATTTAATAATCGCAATTACAATTATTGACCCAAATAATCGAGATTATGATTTTTGCCATAATCGAGCAGCCCTACCTCAGAGGCAAATTGTGTGTAAGAATGGTATAATTGACATTGATAAAACATATTTCCAAAGCTGTTAAGGTGTTTTTTAGTACCTTTTTGAGCGCCAGGAGCCTTTATAGCATATAGCCTTGACTGTTAAATGTAACTTTCTGACCCGAGAGAGTCTAGCCTGATGTCTGTATCAGATTTTGCTGATGTAGGAAAACGGCAAACACATTAATATAAGGAACATGGGCCTTTTAAAGAGACGTATGACATAATATCGCCGGGGTAGAAGATTCCACACAGAGACGGGGGATGGAAATATAAGTTAATTGCTTTTTGAGCAGTAATTCAAAGTCAAGAGACTATGGTGTTTCCTGTCTTTTTTATATATTTGTATTCATGGATTTATTATCCTGTAAAATTGCAAATTTACCAGTTGGTTGTTCCCGATAAAGGCAAGAGCTATTTTTCACACAGCCGCTGCATTTTAGATCTGCATCTAAACAAAAGGCTGCGTGACTCAGCAAACTCATAAGCTATATTCATACTGCACTTAGACCCCGCTATGAACTTTTTACAACCGGAGTTAACCGCACCAGACTATCTAATGGCTCACTATGGGACTCTCAAGTCAAGTAACCTTCATTTCACAGCAAGCAAAATAAAGCAGACTGACTAACGAAGATGTTAAGAGTTAAAAGCCCAATGGAGGTATCGCTAAGTGCTACAACAAGGTCAAAAAATGTGGAAAAGGAGTACAAACACATTCAAAACACTCACACAGGGAGGGTAAGCATCATTATCACGCATCATTCTGATACTTAATTTGAGGAACAGACAGTGAAAAGCAGTTTAATCGAATAGCAGCAGCTGGAAATGCTCACCGCAGGGTCAGAGTCATTGGCCATCACCGTGGTTACGATGGTTCCCTTGACGGCATTAGGGGCAACCAGGCCTCGGTACATTGACTGGGTGAATACCGGAGAAAAGTCATTCATGTCCTGGAGAGAAATAAACACAGAAAAAGTAAGTGTTTAGGATTATAAACATACATTACACCAAGCTGTTTCTGTTTTCCAGTAGGTGCCTGAAATGTTTTACATGTTTAATCCTCATGATGTACAACTGAGTTTTTTAAGAAGTTTGCTTTCACTTTCCTACTTTTACTTAATGTCATTATCACTACCTCTCTGCAGTCAACAAAATGATTCACGAAAGCCACATTATTCTTTACAGGTTCGGGAACATCTGGCTCCACAAGGGAGGGAAAAAGCAACAGCTGTTTACTGTAAAAACACCATATCCAGGTTATATAACCCTTGAGCCTTTAACCTTACGTATATAAATGTTAATATATGAGCTCTTTTAAAGGTCCGGAAGCTTAGATTACAAAAATAAATCAATTTATAAAAGTAGTACATGGAAAAGTCTCAGGATAGTCAACCTGAGGGTACTCTCTTTTTGTTTTGTTTATCACAGCAGGTGTCCAAAGTACTAGAGAGGCCCATAAAGTTTGAATCTGAGGAAAGCACAGACGGATAGTGTTTTATGATTTTCCCACAGTGTCTGGCGTGATTGATTTAAAAACTTGTCCCACACTTCAAACTAAAACTAAGAAAAACAAAGATAGTAGGAAAGGGACCGAAATTGGCAGCTATACTGCTGTGATGCCCCTGTGGGTTCATCTTGAGAGGGTGTGGCTCTCACAGCGGTAACTATAAAGTTTGGGATTTCAAAGTTTGCACACAAGAGAATAATGTACTAGCTTTTGTGCTAATGAATGCAAAGACACTGGTGTGAGCCCAGCATGAACACACCCACACACTCACCATGATCCTGACAGTAACAGAGGCTAGTCCTGGAGGCATGGTTCCCTCTGCATCCCTGGCCTCTACTGTGAAAGTGTACGTGGGTTCTGATTCAGTCAGGGCCTCAAAGTCAAGAACTTTGAGAACAGACAGCTGCCCTGTCACCGGGTCAATGTGGAACAGCCGAACGATCTCCTGGTCCGAGCCTTCAGCCCTGATTTTATATGTGAGGTTGGAGCCGAGGTCAGCGTCTATTGCCTACAGAGAGAAAGAGAAAGTCGGAGAATGGGAAAGAAAGTAATATCATCACCTTTTAAATGTATGGCAAGTTACATTTTTTATATTTGCCAGAAGGGCAAGCATTTACTGTACATAATATGTCCTGGAGTTAGTAACATAATATACTTTTATTAGGTCTGTGTTGAGCTGGTAAGTCTGAAACGCCTGTGGGAGAGACTGTGTTGGTTGCACGGATATTATTTAAATTTCTATAAGTATGTTTCTATGAAGCTAGACGGGTAAAATGCTTTTTTTATATTCATCTGCAACTTGTTGTGTTTCCAATGTGATTTCAAATTAAAGTTCCACGTTTTTTTTAGACATCTCCAGCGCTGGCTAGAAAGTCAAACTAAACCTATTTGGTAATTTCATAGAAGATGTGGATAAATAACTCAAAATGTGACTATTGTGATGAGTCCTTAATACTGGACTCAGTACCTGAATGTAGGACTTCCAAGTATAAGGAGCCCTTAAATTAGTTTTAGTTTTATAAGGACCATCATTCTTTATCATAACTATTATTAGCAGTTTTTTTTAAAGTTACAGTACACGCTACATCAGTTGCCATAGATCCACTCACTCACCTTTAACTGTAATATGACTGTGTCTTTTGGGCTGTTCTCTGGCACGCTGACATTGTAGGTGTGTTGTGTGAATACGGGGCTGTTGTCATCTACATCCAGGACGGTGATGGACAGTGTTAACCTGGATCTGCGAGGATTCACTGCACCATCCCGCGCTTCAACGATCAGGAAGTAGTGACTTTGAACCTGGAAGATTACGGAGAATCACGGTCAAACATCAAGACTACAGTGAACAATTTATTCCGTACTTTTATCGTTGCCACTTTCTTTGTCATGTGTAATCTAAACATATCTATCCTTTCGCTGACCTCTCTGTCCAGGGGCATCGTGGTTGTGATCGCTCCGGTGGCGTTGATGGAAAACAGCTTCTGGTGGTTGACGAGTCGATAATTGACCTGACCGCTTGCCCCCAGATCTGGGTCCGTAGCCTGAAAACAGACATACAGAAATAACATAACCAATAAGAAAAAAGGACTAAAAGTTTTACTCATCTGGTTTGAAATGCCAGCAAATCATTATTTTCATAGAGTGTTAAATTACATTAAGTGAAGTGTCTATAAATGTATACAATAGTTTTAACACTTAACCTCTATTACTGTGGTTGACATATTCAAAGGCAAGGCAAGTTTATTTATATACAGGGCTGCACATAACTGTAACAGGTGCGCATGCGCACCCCCTGCCAAAAAGGAGCACCGGATCATTTGAAAAAAAGCGCATTTGCGCACCAACATTTAGAGAGAGAGAGAGAGAAAAGAGAGATGAGAGAAGAGAGAGAGAGAGAGAGAGAAAAGAGAGATGAGAGAAGAGAGAGAGAGAGAGAGAGAAAAGAGAGAAGGGAGAAGAGAGAGATAGAAAATAGAGAGAGCGAGAGAGAGAGAGAGAGAGAGAGAGAGAGAGAGAGAGAGAGATTTGCATAAGAACTGGTAAGATAGCAGGGTTTCCCACAAATCTTACTCGGGCGGGCCGCCCAGGTATATTAACGGCCGCCAAAGTATAATTCGCGAGCCATTTAGGTTTAATCTTTTTAATCCGTCCGCGAGCACGACGTCATCTGCGATCCCTCGCTCTACCCCTCGCTATAGCGTGAAGGGTCTGCTTTATGCGCTCTGCACAGTAACCCCACTCGTGGCACGGGCGAACAGTTCATGAGCGTGCTCACCAGCGC